CCCCATTCCTTCGCAGCCATGGCGTCACGTGGTTTCCTTCTCCAGCGAAATATAGCTGTATGTATGGCTTGAAAATACCTAAATTTGGCTGACATTTCAGCGCCGTCCGTCAAAGAGCTGCTGCTTCTCGATCCTTTCCTGCTGGGGTGGGGGGGGAGCGGAGCTCTGTGGGATCCACCTTAAGGATCCTCCGCTGCAGGAGCCACCTTAAGGGGTCACCGGATGGACTTGGGATTGTCCCGTGCTGGAGCCACCTTAAGAGGTCGCCGGTGCCACCTTAAGGGTCACCGGCTGGACGTGGGATTGTCCCATGCAGGAGCCACCTTAAGGGGTCACCGGAGCCACCTTAAGGGATCGTCCCATGCAGGAGCCACCTTAAGGGATCGTCCCATGCAAGAGCCACCTTAAGGGGTCACGGGAGACACCTTAAGGGGTTGTCGGCTCCGTGTGGGATCGTCCGATGCAGGAGCCACCTTAAGGGGTCACCGGCTCCGTGTAGGATCATCCTGTGCAGGTGCCACCTTAAGGGGTCGCCAGAGCCACCTTAAGGGATCGTCCTATGCAGGAGCCACCTTAAGGGGTCACGGGAGCCACCTTAAGGGGTCATCAGCTCCGTGTGGGATGGTCCGATGCAGGAGCCCCCTTAAGGGATCACTGAGGCCACTTTATGGGATCATCCCATGCAGGAGCCGCCTTAAGGGGTCACCTGCGCACCCTTAAGGGGTCACCGGCTCCGTGTAGGATCATTCTGTGCAGGTGCCACCTTAAGGGGTCGCCAGAGCCACCTTAAGGGGTCACCGGCTCCATGTGGGAACGTCCCATGCAAGAGCCACCTTAAGGGGGTCACCGGAGCCACCTTAAGGGCTCATCCCGTGCTGGAGCCACCTTAAGGGTCACCGGGGCCAACTTAGAGGGTTACCGGAGCCGCCGTAAGGGGTCACGGGCTCCGTGTGGGATTGTCCCATGTAGGAGCCACCTTAAGGGTCGCGGGAGCCACCTTAAGGGTCGCGGGAGCCACCTTAAGGGGTCACGGGCTTCATGTGGGATCGTCCCATGTAGGAGCCACCTTAAGGGGTCGCCGGCTCCACGCGGGGTCGCCCCGCCTCACGCCGTTCCCCCACGTGCAGCTCGGGGTCGCGGCGGCGAGGCGGAGGAGGAAGCGGGAGCCGGGAGGCGGCGGCGTTCCGGAATCGGGGCTTTTTGGGCTGTTTGGGGTTTTTTTGGGGGGGCTCCCAGCTGCTCCCAGCCCCGCATCCCTCGGCGCCTCCTGCACGCGTGACCCCATGGCGTCGCCAACCCCCCCCCCCCCCAGCGCCGCCTCGCTGCCGCCGATCCCACCCGCTTTGGGGTCTCCCAGCCCCGCAGGCTTCTCCCGTTTCCCCCCTTGTGTTTCTCCCTCTCAGGGTGTCGGGCTGCGGGCTGCTCTCTCTGTAGGATGCGGGTTTAAGGCTGACCCTGCGTTTCTCCCCCCCCCCCCCCCCCCCCCCCCCGCCCCAGCGCAGCACAACCGGTCGGGCCGGTCCGGGAGTTCAGGCAGCGGCAACTTCCGCCGGCAGCGCCCAGCACCCAGCGGGGCCGGCTGGGGCTTCCTGGGGCCACCTGAGGATTGCTGGGGTCCCTGGGGCCGTTTGGGGCTTCTTAGGGCTGTGCTGGGGTTCTTGGGGCCGTTTGGGGCTTCCTGGGGCCGTTTGGGACTTCTTAGGGCCGTGCTGGGGTCCCTGGGGCTGTTTGGGGCTTCCTGGAGCTGTGCTGGGTTTCTTGGGGCCATTCTGGGTTTCTTGGGGCCGTGCTGGGCTTCTTGGGCCCATTTAGGGTTTCTTGGGGCCATTTAGGGCTTCTTGGGCCCATTTAGGGCTTCTTGGGCCCATTTAGGGCTTCTTGGGCCCATTTAGGGTTTCTTGGGGCCATTCTGGGCTTC